TATAATTATGAAATGACAAGACATTATAGAATCCACACAGGCGAGAAACCGTATTCATGCACTATTTGTGGCAAAGGTTTCGTATGTACTGGCTCTTTAGCAAAGCACAGAAGAGCTCACACAGGTGAGAAGCCTTATTCTTGTATAACATGTGGGAAAAAGTTTGCTTATAACAGTGATTTACTGAGACACCTGAAGACGCACACTGGTCAGAAACCATATCATTGTAAAAGATGTGGGAAAATGTTTCTATATAAAAGTGATTTACTGAAACACATGCGGACTCACACAGGTGAGAAACCATATGGATGTAAAACATGTGGGAAAATGTTTGCTTATAATGGTGATTTACTGAAGCACACAAGAGCTCATACAGGTGAAAAGCCATATCATTGTAAAACATGTGGGAAAATGTTCGGATACAGTAGTTCTCTGTTAAAACACATGGGAATTCACACAGGTGTGAAACCACATCATTGTAAAACATGTGGGAAAATGTTTGCTTCTAATAGTGATTTAGTGAAACACACGAGGATGCACACTGGTGAGAGACCATATCATTGTAAAACTTGTGGGAAAGTATTTGGATATAGTAGTTCCTTATTGAAACACATGAGAATGCATACAGGTGTCAAACCATATCATTGTAAAACATGTGGGAAATCGTTCACCTGTAACTCTATTTTGACAGAACACATAAGAACACACACATTTTGAGAAACCATATGAATGTAAAACATGTGGGAAAAGGTTTAACTCTAGAACTCATTTGTAGCGCCACATGAAAACTCACGCTAAGCGGTGCACTATCGATACAAGATTATTGGCTTAGTGAGCTGCGTTGAGCTAAAAGTCAGAGGTTTGTGTCACAAAAGTTGCTTTTTTTTTAAATCTGGTTTTAATTACCCTGTTCAGCTATGAATAATTGAAAGAGGTATGAATATAAATATTGATTTAAAGATTATGGTAACTTACACTGAACACATAAGCTGTTAAAGAGCAGGTAAAGTTGAGAGGTTTAACTGGAATGTGCATATATTCATATATATATATTCAAGTATGCAGAAAACGTGGAAATGTTGTTGTACTTGATTCTCTGCTGAATCTGCTGCTAAATCTGTTACACTAATTTAATTGTAGCTATTAGAAGATGGATCACAGAAAACAAAACAATTACTTTAGTTTGCAACCAAGTAAAGCAAATATTTTCTTGGGCTTTGGAACTATAAGCTTTGACATTTAAATGGGTCCAGTTTAAAGTATCAGAGCTCTAGTGAGAGCCGAGTGCACACTCTTGTCATATTTTCAGCAAGTGTTTTATTGGTATATTTTCTTTATGTTTTCTATAATTTTTTAATCATTTTATCGACATCTGATAATGTCTGTTTATTCTGACTGAGATTTTAGTTTTGTTAATTCAGTTTATATAAAGGAAGCCTGGTGTGTTGATCTTCATTGATAGTATATGCTT